TTAATTAAAATCTTGTGGTACCTGTAACAATAAATTAGAATGAAGTTATCCTAAACTGCAAACTTAGCTGCTGTTTGTATTTTTTTCCCTGGGCTCACAATGAGTTGGCCTTGAATGAGGTTGTCTACAAGAAGCTTAACCATTTTGTATCTGGATTCCATGACATCGGAATTTGAAAAAAAATTATATATATATATATATTTATTTAAAGCTCAGACCAGGCCTTTAAGATGGCTATAAGGAAAAGGACATTCATTGGATTCTCAAATTGAGAAATCTCTGTCATATTGAGTGACCTTGATATTGGAGTTAGTACATCTCTCCCATAGATTTTACTAAAAAAGGGCTGAATACATTATTTTGTTTTTACCAAGGAGGGCTTCTTTACATAATAAGATTTGTTTAATAACAGTTCCTATTATGAATCTTGAATGTTCCCAAACGTGACTAAAGGAATCTTGAAACCTTACTGATAGATTTATTTCATCGTAAAGCATAAGCTTAAGAAACTGCGGCATGCATTAGTGACCGATTCGATTCCCTGAATTATTCTAGTTTCAGTTGCACCGACCGTTATGTAAGCTTAATTCAACCCATTACATCTATTCTTTTATAAGATTTTGATCACGTAACGAATATCGCAATTTTTACTCACCGCAAACTTTCAAAATCATAGCTTTACAGATGGCCACTCGACCCTTGTTTGTACCAGTCAACATGTCAACTGTTGTCCCTTCTTTTAACTCCACGGCGCCAACGACTTTCTTTCTTTTACAACACTCACACTGTTCTCGTCTTCCCATTGAACCACAATAAAAGCTATCTATAGAAATGTTAAGCAAAACAGTCGAGAAAAGCGATCAACCGATGAAAAGTACATTCAAAGATGAGCGCCAAATGGAGTCTTCTTTGTTTCCGATCACGGGCATGATCACGTGGATCTTTTAGGACTTGTCATTGGCTAGCAAAGTGAATCCGCTGGCTTGCCGATTGCAGTGCTAAGAGAAGCGCACAACTTTATTCTGACTTCTCCGACCAGTTCTCTGCTTCTAGACGATGGATATCTTGGTGATATAGATAATGATGTGAGCTCACTCTATGTAGAAATAATCGGCAAGAATCGATCGTACTACAAATGCACGATTTGTGGCCGAAAGTTGTCGAGGAAACAAAGACTCGAACTCACTTGAGTTGTGTTCATGGCAAAGGTGAGAAATAACACAAGTCAATCACAGTTTTGAATGCGACTACAAATCGTCTTTTACCCTCATATTTATAAAAGAAGGATACCACATCAGGAAGTATAAGAGATACATAGATGATCCCAGTGTACCAGTACCTAAATCTACAAAGCTAAACCGTAGCAACCGTTCAGCAACACGATTCCTTAGTCAGTCGTTTCCACTGAACTTAAAGCAGTGGTGACAACAGAGCAGAGTGCGTCTTACAAAGGAGAAACATTTGTACAAGACACAGAAGTAACTATATGCGATTACAG